CCGGTTTTGGCGAAGGATTTGTTTTTTGATAATAATAAGAATTATTATTATTTTTAATCCTCAGCCAGGATATTTTTTCCATTGATTTTTAGAGAGAGTGAGGGGAGAGAGGGAGGAGGGAGGGAGAATAGAAAGAGAGAAAGAGAGAGAGAGATTGATGAGAGAGGCCAGGGATCAAAGCAGAATTGAACCGTGACCCTTTGGTGCATGGGCCGACACTCTAACCACTGAGCACACTGGCCAGGGCATGTTTTTTGATAATCATTATGATGATGGGTTTTCATCCCTCTCATCTAAGATGGTTTTTAGTAACTAGTGGTGAGTAATTTCACAGACAGTTAATGTAGTATCTCTTTTGAACTCTCTTCTCTTAATGCAGATCACAATTCACCTTCTCAGCCCAAGGAAAATAGCCTTGGCCAGAACCATCACCCGGAGGAAACAATCCACAAGTTGGCCATGCAGCTGAAGAACATTGGAGACAGCGTTGATCACTGGACGGCTCAAGAGGTGAGGCCTCTGTTTCTCTAGGAAGGGCCGGCAGGTAGGAGAAAGAGCAGGCCGAACAATGGCTGCTAAGTGGCTGGGATGCCCAGGAATGAGCAGAGCACGTGGATTAGTAATGTCTGGATTACCAAGCATTCAATCTGAAAATTGTGAGCCTGACTCAAGGTCAGTATATGACCTCACACTTGCTGCTCAAACTGTGGTCCATGGGCTAGGAGCCTCAGCTTCACTTAGCAGCCGGTCATATGTGCAAAATCCCAGCCCACACGCTGGAATCACCATCTTCCTTTTTGTTGTTGTTAATCTTCACCTGAGGATATCTTTTTCCATTGTTTTTCAGAGAGAGTAGAAGGGGAGGAGATAGAGAGAGAAACATCGATGTGAGAGAGACACATTGACTGGTTGCATGCCACACGTACACCAACTAGGGGCGAGGAGTGAACCTGCAACCAACGTATGTGCCCTTGATCAGGAATCGAACCCACAACCCTTTGGTGCGCAGGCCGACACTCTAACCACTGAGCACACCGGCCAGGGCACCATCTAATTTTTTGCACAGGGGATTTGTGTGCACATTAACGTGTGAGAGACTTTGCTGCACACCCTTAAACTAGGATGCCTTTTGGAATCACCTAGTGTAATCTCAAGAATTACAGATGCTGGCCCAACTGGAGTGGCTCAGTGGTTGAGCATTGACTTAGGAACCAGGAGGTCACAGTTCTACTCCCAGTCGGGGCACATGCCTGGGTTGCGGGCTTGATCCCCAGGAGGCAGCCAATCAGGGATTCTCTCTCATCATTAATGTTTCTATCTCTCCCTCTCCCTTCCTCTCTGAAATCAATAAAAATATTTAAAAATCCTATGTAATAAAAGGCTAATATGCAAATAGACCGAACGGTGGAACAACTGGAAAAGCCAATGTGCGCTGACTATGATGTGCGCTGACCATCAGGGGGCGTGTGCAAAACATGGAGGGCATTGGCCACGGTGGGATGGTGGAGCAGGTGAGCAGGGCACCAGACCAAGGCGGGGCACCGGCCACTGTCATTAGGGCAAGCCTCTAGTGGTTACTGAAAATTCTTTGTTCCTGCGTGCGACGGTCCTGCCCGGTGCTCGCACCTACTGCTGGCATTGACCCTGCTTACACCTGCTTCCAGCACCAAAGCTGCCGCTCAGACCCACTGCCAGCGCCGGCCCTGCTTGCACCCACAGCTGGCACTGGAGTCACCACTTGCACACACTGCCAGTGCCTGGCACCAGTCCCAATCACTTGGTGCCATTAGCAGTGTGAGTGGTGGCTGCTGGCCCCGATCGCCCCTGAGGGCTTCTCCACCTCCCCCTGCTCCTGAGGGGCGATCGGGGCAGCAGCTGCCACTTGTACCCGCTGACAGCACTGGACCCACTCGCACCTGCTGCTGGTACCGGCCCCAATCGCTCTGCGCTGTTAGCGGGTGCGAGCGGGACCGGAGCCATCAGCACATGGAAGTGGTGGCAGCAGGAGTGGGGCTGCCGGCAGATGGCGGGGGGGGGGCCCCTGTGCTTACTGCAGCCTCACGGCCCACAGTTCCTTTCAAGGTGCACAAATTTGTGCACCGGACCCCTAGTATATATATATGTGTGTATATATATATATATATATATATAAAAGAATTACAGATGCCTAGGCCCCACCTTGAGACGTTCTGATTGAATTGGCATGAGATGTGGCCTGGGCACCAGGCATTTTAAAAGCTCCCAGGTGAATCGAATGCTCAGTCAGGGAGGCCAACCTCTGCCTTAGACTGTTCTAATCCTCCTGAACCAACCCCGAGGTATGATCTAAGCCCCACTCTCACCGATCTCTTAGTTTCTCCTGATTGTAAGAGGTATTGGGGGCAAACAGGAAAGAATAATGCTTGCCATTGGAAATCTTAGGGGCAATGAAATTCACAGCCAACTTAGTTTTCCTCAGAACCACCTGGAGTTGGCAGCAGAGAGAGACCGATCACGTGGGCTCTGGGATAGGAAGGGTGGCTGCCCCTCGGGCCCCACTTCTTGCCCTTCGCTTCCCCTCTCCGGTGACGATTCTTCTCATCACTGCTGTCGCCACTGCGCTGGCTCAGGGAGCGCCGTGTCTTCTTTCGTGTTCTGGTCCAAATGTAGACAGTGTACAGCTTTTCCCTCAGATAAAACATTCCGAGACAAATCATGAATGGGAGACCCCGACAGCAACACTACTAAAAGCAAGAAGGAAACAAAGATGAAATAAACACAGTCAAATAAGCCATTTGATAGACCGATTTCATTAAGGCAAATATTTATTGGACTCCTACTATACGCCAGGCTCAGCTGCAGGCGTTGGCAGCTGGAGCAGCGAGCGGGGCGGGTGAGCCTACTGTCACAGACCTCAGTCTGGGAGGGAGACAGAGCAGGCAGCGGACCGTCAGGCAGGATGCCCACTGGAGCAGCATTGGAAGACAGTGATGGAGACTGACTTGGGTGGGCAATCGGGGAGGCGGTATCTCTGGGGAGGTGATGTATGAGCAGAGACTGGAAGGGAGGGATGAGGCACGGGACTACGTGGGGGGAGTGTTCCAGGGAACAGCGAGCGCACAGCCCTTGTGACAGGAACAGGCCCAAGGAACAGTAAGGAGGCCAGAAGGGCTGGAGTGAGTGAGGTCTGGGGCTTGGCCTCCTGCAGAGTGCGCTGTATCCGGGGCCAGAGCGGCAGAGGAGACCCCACAGGCTGGGCCAGCGTGCAGCAGTGGAGGTGGTAAGAGATGATCGGTCAGACCCAGGGTGCGTTTAGAAGTAGAGCCTGCAGGATTGGCCGATGAGCGGGATGTGCGGAGGGAGAGGAAAGGAACACATACTTCAGTGGTTTTGGCCCGAGCCTCTGGATGGGTTGGTGGTAGCACCGTTTACTGAGATGGATGGAGGAAACCGAAGAGCAGGTTTTGGGGGAAATAGAGCTCGATTTGGGACACGTGAGTCTGACGTTTCTATTAGACATGCAGATTGAGACGTTGTAAAGTTGCACAGGAGTTGTAAGAACCATCTGGAGTTAGAGGAGACACTGAAGCTCGAGATAAGAATTTGGATTATAAAGTGCTGCTTTCTCCCTGGGTTCACGGGATCAATAATGACCTCATTCCCAGCCCAACTCTATTTGGAGGGTAAACTAAAGCTATGTAATAGTAACTGATGCTTATTGAGGGCTTGCTGTTTGCCAGGGACCATGCTAACAGTTTTACTTGCATTGTTTTATTTATTTATTAAATGTGTTCTTATTGATTTTGAGAAAGAGGAAGGGGGAGAGAGAGAGAGAGAGAGAGAGAGAGAGAGAGAGAGAAACATCGATCGGCTGCCTCCCACCGAGCCCTGACTGGGGATCCAGCCCACAATCCAGGCATCTGTCCTGTGTGGAAATTGAACCCACGACCTTTGGGTGCATGAGAAAATGCTCAACCAACTGAGCCACACTGGCCAGGGCTGTATTGTTTTATTTCATTCTTACAACCACCAACGAAGCTTGGATCATTACTATTCTCACATTTCAAATGAGGAACTTGATGACCAGAAGTTAAGTGACTTCTCCTAGGTTACACAGCTGGTAAGTCTCAGAATTAGGACCTGAACCATGTCTGCTGGTTCCAAAACACATGCACCACCCCAATACCGTCTCTACTGTTTGCCCCCCCTTTCTCCCAGGAGTCACCTCTTTTTTACATCTGGACCCAAGAGCCTGAGGCACAGAGAGAGGGCGGGGGAGTGTCTTCCGACCTCCACCCATTTTCTGTGTAGCACCCCTTTCAGGGAAGACCTCACCCCACAGCCTCACTCTCTGGCCTCACTGGACAACCGTGTCCCAGTACCACACCAGAGGCTTAACGTACATAGAAGAGATACTCACATGGACTCCCTGCTCACCAAATCGTCAACTGTGGTCTAAGGGGTTAAGTGCTGGCTTTAGGGTCCCAGTACTGGGTCCAAAGTCTGGCTCACCACTGTTCACTGTGTGACAGGGGGCAAGTTCCTTACCCTCCCTGGGTCTCCTCTGTAACCAGGAGGTCACGACAGCACTACCTCATACGGCTGTTGTGAAAATTAAACGAGAGAATCTATGTAAGTCACTTAGAACAGAGCCTGGCCCACAGAAAATGACCAATTGATGTCATCTAAACCAAAAAATTAACTTGCTTTTTGTCTTTGCCCTTCCAGGATTTGGAGTTGAATATCTCTTTACCGCGTGTCTTTTCTTACAGCGCACCCAGGCTATTTGTCTGCTCCCTTCTAGGCTAGTTTCTTCTGTAGGAACATTTTCACTTTTCCTTCTGGAAATTCCTTAGTTCAACTTTCCTGCTTCTTGATCAGCTAATTTTGAATACTCATGGGTCCTGCTAATATTTTTCTCTGAATAGGAGAGACCAGGGTAGGACACAATGAGCCTCCTTCTCCACGTTGCCTCCCTTTCTTTACCTTTTGTAATTTGCTTATAAGTCTTAAATTTGCCGCTGCAGCCGCATAAGTCAACACAAAACGGTCCCAGGTTTTCTTTGTTTTATGTGTAGCACATGTCAGTCCTTCATTTCTTTTTATTGCTGAACAATATTCCATTGTCTGTATAGGTCCCATTGTGTTTATTTAGTCACCCGGGGATGGATATTTAGGTTGTTTCTGCTTTGGGGTTATTATGAAGAATGATGCTGTGAACTCGTGGGTACGTGTTTTTGTGTAGAATATGTTTTCAGTTGTTTTGGGTACATTCCTAGGCGTGGAATTGCTGTGCTCGATGAGAATTCTATGTTTAACGGTTGGAGGAACATCCAGACTGTTTCCCAAAGTGACTGACCTACTTTCCATTCCCACCAGCAGTGCACAGGTTCCAGTCTCTCCTCATCCTCCTCAACATTTGTTATTAACTGTCTTTTTTTTTTTTAAATACATTTTATTGATTTTTTACAGAGAGGAAGGGAGAGGGATAGGGAGTTAGAAACATCGATGAGAGAGAAACATCAATCAACTGCCTCCTGCACAGCTCCTACTGGAGATGTGCCCGCAACCCAGGTACATGCCCTTGACCGGAATCGAACCTGGGACCTTTCAGTCCGCAGGCCAACGCTCTATCCACTGAGCCAAACCGGTTAGGGCTTAACTGTCTTTTTGTTTATAGCCAGCCCAGTGGGCTTGAGGAGTTCTCTCACTCTGGTGTTGATTTGCATTTCCCTGATGGCTAATGCTGTGTATCTTTTCAAGCGCGTAATGGTCATTTGTGTATCTCTTTCGAGAAATGTTTTTCAGGTCCTTTGCCCATTTAAAAAATTGGGTTATTTGTCTCTTATTGAATTGTAGGAGTTCTTTACTAGTATATATTCTAGATGTAAATTCCTTATAAGAAATACTATTTGCAAATGTTTTCTCGTAGTCTGTAGGCTGTCTTTTCACTACCTAGGTGGTATTCTTTGAAAAACAAAAGTTTTTTGATTTGAGGAAGTTCATTTTTCTTTTGTTTCTAGTACTTTTGGCACCCTGTCTGAGAAATCATTGCCTAATCCTAAGTCATGAAGATTTACACCCATATTTTCTTCTGAGAGATTTTTAGTTTTAGCTCTTAAATTTCGGTCTCTGATCTAGTAGGAGTTAACTTTTGCATATGGTGTGAGTTAAAAGTCCATTCTCAATCTTTGCATGCGGGCACCCAGTCTTCCCAGCACCGGTTGTTGAAAAGACTGTTCTTCCCCCGGCACTCATGGGAAATCAATGGCCTGTAAATGGGGGTTTTATCTCTGGACTCTCAGTTCTCTTCCATCGATCTGCATGTCTACCCTTCTGCCTGCCCTCGCTTTCCTTGCAGGAATTTGCAAAGCGGGCTTTGACCTAGACTTTTTTTTTAAAACATATTTCTTTATTGATTTTAGAGAGGAAGGGGAGAAGAAGAGAGAGAGAAATGTCAATGAGAGAGAATCATTGATCGGCTGCCTCCTGCACGCCCCCAACTGGGGATCGAGCCTGCAAGCCAGGCATGTGCCCTTGGCTGGAATCGAACCTGAGACCCTTCAGTCAAAAGGCTGATGCTCTATCCATTGAGCCAAGCCAGCTAGGGCTGACCTAGACTTTTAAAGATCGCTTGTTCTCTACCACAGAATTGCATTTTAGAACACTCTTAATAGACCACATCATAATTTTAAAATAATTTTAGAAATGTCTTCTAAGTTTGGTTCTAAAATGCCAAAGGCTTTACTCTGCTGCTTCCAGGCTTAAATCCAGCAACTTCAACAGAATTTCAAACCCCGCACGGTTCATTTCCTTTATGTATAGTCATTGTTTACCCACCTTTTGTACTCAGTTCCATCAAGTGGTCACACTGACTCGCCAGGTCCCTTCCTGCTTTTGATATATTTAAAGAAACTTTCACTCTGCCTCCGGAACGCGAGCAAGGAGCTCAGCAGGCCATGCTTTGTCTGCTGAACTGACTGCCCTTGAACTGCCACACGTCTGCTGTCTTGTTCTTTTCACGAAGCGAGCATTCTGTATTTTCAAATAGGCCTGGTGCTCAAAATAACATGTTTTGCTATTGAGTTATATAGGGTTTTGATTCCAGGAACTGGTCTTTTTTTTTTTTTTTTTTTTTTTTTTTAAAATCCAGGGCATGTCGTTTTCCTAGATATAAAGTGTGTTTTATAATAGTCTTCCCATCACTTTTAGGATCTTAAATGTTTCTCTACAGGAAGGACTCTTTTCTTCTGGGTTCTAGAAACTGCACCCTCCGTGTCCCTATAGGCCTAGGAGTGGCACCAACTCTGTGGTTACCAGCCCTCGGTACTGTACCACCCCCCCTGGCCCCTACCCACTGTGTAGATCGTCTCCTTATTCAAACCACCCTCAATTATCCTAATTTGAGTGTGCCACCTGTTTTCTCTGGGACCTTACTGATACAGTAATGCATAGGGAACTTCTTAGTTTGTTAAAAAGTGGGGAAGGAAACTAATATTTATTAGAGGCCCTGGGCACGACATTCATGCACTGGGGGTTGGGAGAGTGTCCCTCAGCCCGGCCTGCACCCTCTCGCAGTCTGGGACCCCTCCGGGGATGTCCGACTGCTGGGTGTCCCCCGAGGTGTCCTTAGCGCTGCTGTGGAGGCTGGAGAGGCTGGCTTCTGGCTGAGCGGTGCTTCCCCTGTGGAAGCGCACTGACGACCAGGGGGCAGCTCCTGCTTTGAGCGTCTGCCCCCTGGTGGTCAGTGCACGTCATAGCGACCAGTCATTCTGCCGTTGGGTCAATTTGCGTATTAGGGTTTATTATATAGGATTTCTTCCAGGTACTCTTTGAAAACACTCTCAGAGGGCAGAGGGAAAACAGCTTTTCCTTTCATTTAATTCTCACAGGAACCCTATCAATTCGTGGTACAGGTGTTTCAAGAGAAGCAGCTGAGGTTCAGAGAGATCTGGTCACCTATCCCAACATCTGGCTCAGCGCCCATTTTCTTGTCTGCCTTGCTGGAAGGAAATTCATTCATCTTCCTAACGGATATAAATTATAAAAGAGAAAAGTCCTTTAGTGGTTTCCTGTTACTGACAGGACAAAGTCTAAAGTCCTTAACCTGCCGCTAATGATTTATCATTCATTCATTCAGTCGGCTAACAGGTACTGAGTACCTGGTGTGTCGGGCTGTTCCCGGACTGCAGACAGGGCCGTGACCAAGACAGACACACTCCCTGAGATCAGGGAGCTTATGTTCTCAAGGGAGACAAGAAATAAGTAAATAAATAAACAAAGTCCATAGCTTATCAGACGGTCATAAATATTTTGGAGGAAAATAAAGCAAGGAAGGGGATGAGGAGTGTTAGGGGTTTACACCCATCTGAGTCCCATCAGTTCTTCCAACCCCAAGGCAAGCTTCCTTGCTTCTCTGAGGGGAGGAGAAAGTGCTCTGGGAAGCCAGAGGAGGCGGCATCAGCCCTGAAAAGAGGGCCCCCATTTGCTGGGGGTTAAGGTGGGAGAACAGGTGCAGGGGAGAGCATCACTCACCCCCAAGATAGTCTCCTCCAGCTCGTCTACATCATAAAGCAGCCCAGAAGCGTGCTTTTGGTATTGATTGAATTAATATTAATACTGAATTTCCCACTTCGGATTATTCTATTGCCTTAAAACAAACAAACCCCCTCTCTCTTTTTGAACAGAACGCTCAGCGGGAAGGCAGAGAGGCACTGGCTCAGTTTGTCGTGGTTTTCCATGCGGGAGGTCACGCACTGCTGCGCTTCCTCTGGAACAACCACTGGATGTAAGAGGAACAGACATCCGAGCTCTGCCGTCCCCCTGCGCCGAGAACCAGTCCCTGCACAGGTGGGAAGAAGGCCCTCCTCCGCTCCCTGTTTTCACTGTCACTGTTGGTTTATGCGGCTTCGTTGGAGAGCTGCAGGCTCACTGACCATTTGTCTGTTCAGAGCAGCCGCTGTGCCATGTCTGCGAGTGCCCCACCTCATGGTAGAGCTGCAGGCGCGCTCAGGAGGCGCTGCCAGGGTCCCCGGGGCATCTGCTTCCCTGGGGGAACCTGAGCCTCGTCCTCAAACCAGAGGTCACAGCAATGGACGCTTCTCCTGGGCCCTCCCTGGGCGCCCAGCCACCTGTTGGCCCCACTCCGGGTGCCCATGTCCAGATCCGCAGCGCCCGTTCTTCTCATTCCTTTCTGTCCACCCATGTTCCCTGTCTTCCCCTTCTAGGAGCATTACAGGTGTTAAGGAAGTTTGTTGTTATAAATTATAAGTTCTGTATATGGTTGAGTTATTTGTTATTTAAAAATGAAATAAATATTGTTGTTTTATTGAGCATGAAACATCTTCGCATATGTCTTTTGTGAGGAAGGGATTCCACTTATTCCGGCTCACCTGGGTTCATAATTTCATAGACTTTATTTTTTACTTTTAAAAATATGTTTTTATTGATTTCAGAGAGGAAGGGAGAGGGAGAGAGAGATAGAAACATCAATGATGATCATTGATTGGTTGTCTCCTGCACGCCCCCTTCTGGGGATCGAGCCCACAACCCAGCATGTGCCCTAGACCAGAATTGAACCTGAGACCCTTCAGTCCACAGGCCGACGCTCTATCCACCAAACCAGCCAGGGCCATAGACTTTAGATCTTATGCAGCATCCACTTTGTCCTTCCGAAGGGAAACACCCCCATTTTTTTAGTCTGCCTCATGCATCGCCTACTTTTTCCATCATCACCGCGGTTTTGGCTGACATGGAACAGATCCTGAACTTCTTTCTTTCTTTTTTTACTGTTCTGAACAGGTATGTAATCGTATGGTTAAACATGAAAACAATATTAAAAACTTGCAGTGAAAACCCTTCCTCTTATTTTCTATCTTGAATCTCAATTGTTTGTTTGTTATACATCCTTCCAGATACCACACACACACACACACACCACACACACCAAACACACACACACACACCACACACACACATACACACCAAACACACACACACACACACCATACACACACCATACATACACCACACACACACACACCACATACACCATACACACACACCACACACATCACACACCACCAAACACACACACACAACCAAAC